CCCAGGGGGACAGCTTGAGGCTCCATCTCAAAAAAAAAAAAAAAAAAAAAAAAATAGGAAATGGGGGAAAAAAAGCAAGAAAGAGGCAAAGAGATGAAGAAGTAGAAGGGACAGAGAATTAGAAAGGGACAGAAGTCATTTGCACATGTTCAGGTGATATTAATAAAGTATATGCAAGGAATAAACAAGGGAGGAAAAAACCAGTTCTTCTCAAATAAAATTCTCAATCCAGAGCTCTCTAAGAAACTAAGAAATACACAGTACATCTTTCTTTTTTAAAAGGACAATCATCTAAATACACTGTTGCAAGAACAAATCCCTGCTCCCCAAAGGTGTAAAGTGAGGCAGAGAACTATGAATTTCAATCTTGATTATGTCACCAAACTAGCTCTTTGACAGTCTCAAATGTAACTACTGAGGCACAAAAACTTACCAAAGAGGGGCAAATGCTCTCTTCTCCAGCCAACCTATATCTTAGAGAATCAAATACATCATCCAAAATCATAAACATACTTAAACAATTATCTATTTCTCTTTCCAGTCCTCTATAGGGACTCCTGAAGTGAGTTCTCCTCATCTGAACACTTTCTGTGTATACATCCTTCTCAAAACCATATTCTAAGCCATCTACCACTGCTTTTATCCGTATTTTTTTTTTTTTTTCAGTTTTTGGCCAGGGCTAGGTTTGAACCCACCACCTCCAGCATGTGGAGCTGGTGCTTTGAGCCACAGGCGCCGCCCATTTATCTGTATTTTTTTATACCTCTTCCCCAGGTCTTATAAAATTATTCCATGTGCTTCCTTCTCATCAACAAATAGCCTTTTTCCCCACAAAATGACCTCATTAGATAAATATGTCATAAAAGAATCACTTAGTAATAGCCTCAGTGAATTTTTAAATTGGGAACAATTATTTCTTTCACTTTATTCTAATTTGCTGAAAACCACATTCTTCTGCCCCTCCCCCATCAATTACCCAAGAACTATCTGTTAAAGAAAAGAGAGGGTAGAGAATGGTTGATCAAAGCAACCAGAGTTGAAATCCAGAAAAGCTAGGACAGAAGAGTTACAATGAATGCAGAGAAAAGAATACAAGACCACAGCCAAACCCAGTTAAGAGCAGGGGCTATTTTCCAAATGTTCCAAGTTCTTCCTAGTATACTGCCTGCAGAATCCAAGTGCAGGCAAAAGCATCTAGGAATGAGTTTCTCATGTGGATTTCAGCAGAACACTTCATTATTTTTCCCATCAGAGATATTTTACATGGTATCCCAATAGTTGAAATTCATAGGAAAAGGAGTTACTATGATTAAGAGCAATAGGAAACCTAAAGCCTAGACTACTAGGCCTGCCTAAGCCCCTTTCCTGTCTTATGATTTTTTTTTCTTAGGTAGGGTCTAACTCTGTCATTTCAGTTAGAGTGCAGTGGTATCATCATAGCTCACCACAACTTAAAACTCCTGGGCTGAGACAATCCTTCTGCCTCAGCCTCCTATATAGCTGGGACTTTGAGCACATGCCACCTAATGGACCATTAGCACATGCCATGTTAATTTTTCTTATTTTTTGTAGAGACAGGTTTCCTTCTTGCTCAGGTGAGTCTCGAATTCCTAACCTCAAGTGATCCTTGTCCCTCAGCCTCTCAACGTGCTGGGATTACAGGCATCAGCCACCATGCCTGGCCCCCTTTTTCCTTCTGACCCATTCCTACAGCAGCCCAAAAGACACTGAAGAGGAAGTTCATGGGACAGTGTGAGAACATGATCATCTACGAAAATCCTCAAAGGCAAAGTACAATAGAATGAACAAAGAACTGCTAGAGTTAAGACAGAGCCAAAGCTAGAATTTCATGTCTAGCTAGAATCCTAGCAATATGAAAATGCTGAATTAATAAGTTTATATCTTAGTAAAGACATGCACTTTAAATCAAGAACAACTTTTATCTCAATACCTAGGTTAGATAGAACCTTTCTTTAAAAGCATTTTCACATATTTTCATTCTTTTTATCTTTTTTTTTTTTTTTTTTAAGACAGAGCCTCAAGCTATCCCCCTGGGTAGAATGCCATGGCTTCACAGCTCACAGCAACCTCCAACTCCTGGGCTCAAGCGAGTCTCTTGCCTCAGCCTCCAAAGTAGCTGGGACAGGCG